GGAAAAGCCAGCAGCACAGCATGTTACATAAGCGCCGAGTTTTTAAACCACAATGCCTGCTAACTAAAGACAATTTAAATACTCCGTGTCTTCTACGCAAAATACAGTAGGTCCATGCTGCCGGCTTTGGCATAGCATAACACAAAATTCATACATTATTTACATACTAATATATTAGTGTTTACCTTAAAGATTTTTCCAGTAGCACCTGCAGAGAGCTAGAAACTGAAACCGGCCATCGGCAGTCCTATAACATTTGTACATGCCCAAGTTATTCTGTGGATCCGATTTGTTTGCACTGGACGCTGCCAGTCAAATGATCAGCAGCTTCAGGCTGGGAAGTGTGTAGTGGGTACTGCTGCTATGGAGGTGTGCAATCTAGTATGCTGGATTGCAAGGGCAAAATGACAAAATGCATGATCTGACAGAGGTCATTTAAGGATTTAAACCACTGGTCTTCCCCAACTTTACACAAGTTCCTGAGGGGACCCCCTAAACCAATTTCTACACCCCCTACGCAGCCTAGGAGAATATTAACAGAAAGGTCCTTTTCGAAAATGGGACTCAGGAAAGACTAGCATCAGTGAGGCAAGGCTAAAATACTTTTGAAAATCTACGTTATCTTGCTGGGATCCTATGACCCCAGCTGACTTCCTGCCCCTGGGGGAGAGGGCTGGACTCTATGATGCTCCGGGGTCCCTTCCAGCCCTAATGTCTATGAAATATATGAAATCTATGCCTAAATGACAAAAAACAACCTTGAAAGATTTCCATCTTCTTTGAGATTCCATTTTTTTAAAATATATTAATTAGTGCCCATTTTTAAAATAGTTGACATACATGTGTAGATCCCATTAAGAACCTGCTTGAAAATCATTTCCCGAGCAAAAATGCTTTTCTGGATCAGACAACCTGGGAGTTACAGTATCCCTGTACATAAATCACCACTTGAAATGATCAAACTACTTCAGTACTGATAGTTTGTCTTCTTTCAAACTTTCATAAGGTTTATTTACAACCAATATACCTCTTTTCAAAGAAAAAAAAATGTTAATATATCAGTTATTTCATATTATTACAGCATCCAGCTTGCTTATAATTATGGCACATAACCACCATAATACTTTCTACTGACATGCACACGCTTACAATGCCCCGTAACACATTACCCAAGACCATAACGTGGTTATACTATCTAAACATTTATACCCCACTAAAAAATGGAAACTTAACATAAAATGTGACCTAGAATCTTTTCTGCTACATCAGATAGATCAGGGTTTCTCAACTGGTGGGACGCGAAGGTCCTCTAGGTGGGGCTTGGGTCGCGGCAGCGAAACAGGAAATACCACAGCAGGATTTCTGCTTTTGCACACTTCAATCGGCTGCTGGGGGACCTCCCCCTGCGCTCGTCGACCGGTGGGACCAGAATTTTTTGACCTTACGTAGGTGGGACACAAGGTGCAAAAGGTTGAGAACTGCTGAGATAGATGACATAACAGGATGATAAGACAGGGCTCTTTATGCCAAAGAGCAAGGCACAACAGGGTACAACCCTTCCCCTGCCACTCTAGCTGCGAGACTATGAACCAGAGGAAAGATCTTTCTGAATTGAGATGCATACATTAAATGGGTTATATCCAATGTAATCAAGTATTGCAATAATGCAGGCGAGAGCTAAATCACCTACCACACAACATCGCAAGTTTGAACTGGAGGGAGGCATTTCATAGGTCAATCTTGCATACACACGCTTGTTTCAATTAGTGTTAACTTACAGATTCACCAGAAGCTTCTGAACAGTGTAAGTGCTTACCGATTTCAGCAGGTAGTTGCTTAATTTTGTTCTCTCGTATGCTAAGCGTGGTGAGTCTTGACAAGTTTTTGATATCCTTTTCCACAGTAGTTACACGATTAAAGCGTAGATAAAGAGTGGCGAGAGAACATAGCCTGTACACCACCGAAGGAATTTCTCTAAGTTTGTTATGCCGCAAGTCAAGCATGGCCAATTTCTTCAAGTTATCAAGAGAGTCAGGCAAACTGGTAAGCGAGTTCTCACTCAGTGCCAGTGTCACCAGATTCACGAGACAGCCCACCTCGGCCGGTAAGGACTGCAGTTTGTTACCGTATAAATAAAGTTCCGTTAGCTGTGTCAACTCTTTGATAGACGATGGAAGCATGTGTATAGACCTCTTGGCTAAGTCCAAGCGAATCGCATTCTCTTCCCGGCATTTATTTAGCTCTTTGATCAACTCAGCATTGCTGGATTTTTTGCGAGCGCCTGGGGCTGGATTAGGTCGTTTTATCGTGTTGTCCACTGAAAAAGCCACCCCAGGCTGCGCACTACTGGAGTCCTTTTTTCCATCTTTGGCATCTTTCCCTTTGGTCTTAGGCTCCTTTTCTTTACTCTCTTTCCCAAGTCCTCCAGACGCCTTGGCCTCCTTCTCTCTCTCTTTTGCAGACGGGACTTTTGGATCCTTCTCTTTACAGTCTTTTTCTTTTCCTAGATTACTACTCATGGCGATTCAATGTTTTGCAAGCACCACATGAAATCCACTTTTTTAATGTGACAAAAACAATTTGCTGCTGAAGCTACAAGGATCCTTAAAATACAAACAATTGGATTGAGGGAGGAGCTTCAGTGGCACAATACCCTTTTGCTACATATTGATTCTGAAGGCACTCTTTTCTAATCCTGATATTGGAAGGTTCAACAGTTGGAGATTAGATGGTCAAATGCTCCTTACTAGAATTTCTGCAACACAGGAGAAAAAAAGAAGTAAATGTTAATGTGAGCATTACTTATTCTTAAAATATTAAGCGTGTCAATAGCTAACATAGGGTTGCAGCATCAAATCAGTAACCACCCCTCTCATGACTGCCCGCAAGAATCAAATCCTAACATTCAAATAAACAACGTTGTTCTGGAATACCTACTTGACAGCAGATAAACTATTCTAACCTTTATGAATAAAGCACGAATAAGTTAAGCATCTTAAATACAATACTGCCTTCATTACAAGGCACAAGTTGCCACATCTTGCTATTATATGCTAGTGCACAACCACAAAGTGCCTCTCTCTAAACTCAGTCCATAGAGCATAAAGTCCAATGTTAGATCATAAAGCACAGAGCATAAAGTCCACTTCTAGCATGAAGGACTGGCTCTCCCACGTCCAACTCTGGAAGTCCTCAGTTCAAATCTCCAGTGCCAGATAATATGGCAGACTTATGAACATTTCTTACCAAGCGATCTCTTCCGGCCTATTTTGAGTCACAACCATCTACTGCACTCCTACATAAGATAGGACCTTGCAACCTATGACAAGGTTGGTATTTTTTGCAATGCAAACAAAAGGAGTTGTAGGCTTGAAATAAGCATGCAACACCCCTCCTCCCCACCCCACCCCCAACCCACAATATCTAAAAGGACGTAACTCGATGCCTAAAAGACAAGCAAACCTGCAACCAAGGTAATAAGGAAAACCAGTCCAAAAGGCAGGTTATTCTGCAGGGGGGTAGGTGATTCTGCAGCTACCCATTCAGAGTATCTTCCATTTTTCTATAAACCATTTGATAACTGGCTTCTGGATTAGATCTCCCTATATTCTCTACAACAGTGTCCACGTTCCGGGTCCAGTTTCAGTTTTATCCAAGTCTGTGAATTAAAGTAAATGATTCCAAGAAATATTCAGTAATTGAAAAATCCTAACCAATTCTAAAGCAGTCTTTCAAAAATAAATGGTCAATTGAAGGGAACAGCATTTTTATCCTTCCATGTCAATCAGTCTTTTTGCCAACAAAAGCAACATTCTGTTGTTTTGTATTATTTGTTGATGATGGGGAGTTTCTTAGTTTTTAACAAAAGGGCCTAGTTGGTCTCAGCCACAAAAGCTGTTTGCAATCTTCTCACCACCACCACCTTAGGAACTACATCCCCTTTCTGGTGTTTGATGTTCTCTATTAATATGTTACAAGGACAGAAAAAAAAATGATATATACTTAAGTTACTCAATGAGAACTGAACACATCGAAATCTTACAGGCAGGCTCATCCACCTATATTTTAAAATGCATATTTGCATATTTATGCATAGCTCTCTTGTGCACGTACACTATTTTTTAAGCCAAGAAACAGTCATTCATATTAAAATAGGATCAGAGATTAGATGGCCAAACCTAAAATTACATACTGGTTAGAAGGCAAATATTTCCCTACTATTCTGCAGATCGTGATATCTAATATCAGAGCTGTGAATAAAACTCACAAGACAACTTCCAGGCCTGTGCTGTAACTTGTTACTGCAACAGCATCGCAAATGTGTGTGTGTATGCAAGATGTTCTTGGGTAATCTCTGAAACTGGAGTTTACAATGCCTTGGAGAACTCGGATAAAGGGTGTTAATGTAATACTTGGCTTCATCCAATTCTGTCTGTATACAGTATCTCATATGACACCATTAAATGACTTAACACTTACTTGACCTTGTTTTCTTTTAATCCTTTTGCAGGTGTTTTGTTTGATTTTGGGGTTTTTTAAAGAAATGAATAGAAGAATCAACTCTTCTGACAGCTGTAGTTGGCACTCTTTCCCTGTGGACAAGCCAGCAGCACAGCATGTTACATAAGCGCCGAGTTTTTAAACCACAATGCCTGCTAACTAAAGACAATTTAAATACTCCGTGTCTTCTACGCAAAATACAGTAGGTCCATGCTGCCGGCTTTGGCATAGCATAACACAAAATTCATACATTATTTACATACTAATATATTAGTGTTTACCTTAAAGATTTTTCCAGTAGCACCTGCAGAGAGCTAGAAACTGAAACCGGCCATCGGCAGTCCTATAACATTTGTACATGCCCAAGTTATTCTGTGGATCCGATTTGTTTGCACTGGACGCTGCCAGTCAAATGATCAGCAGCTTCAGGCTGGGAAGTGTGTAGTGGGTACTGCTGCTATGGAGGTGTGCAATCTAGTATGCTGGATTGCAAGGGCAAAATGACAAAATGCATGATCTGACAGAGGTCATTTAAGGATTTAAACCACTGGTCTTCCCCAACTTTACACAAGTTCCTGAGGGGACCCCCTAAACCAATTTCTACACCCCCTACGCAGCCTAGGAGAATATTAACAGAAAGGTCCTTTTCGAAAATGGGACTCAGGAAAGACTAGCATCAGTGAGGCAAGGCTAAAATACTTTTGAAAATCTACGTTATCTTGCTGGGATCCTATGACCCCAGCTGACTTCCTGCCCCTGGGGGAGAGGGCTGGACTCTATGATGCTCCGGGGTCCCTTCCAGCCCTAATGTCTATGAAATATATGAAATCTATGCCTAAATGACAAAAAACAACCTTGAAAGATTTCCATCTTCTTTGAGATTCCATTTTTTTAAAATATATTAATTAGTGCCCATTTTTAAAATAGTTGACATACATGTGTAGATCCCATTAAGAACCTGCTTGAAAATCATTTCCCGAGCAAAAATGCTTTTCTGGATCAGACAACCTGGGAGTTACAGTATCCCTGTACATAAATCACCACTTGAAATGATCAAACTACTTCAGTACTGATAGTTTGTCTTCTTTCAAACTTTCATAAGGTTTATTTACAACCAATATACCTCTTTTCAAAGAAAAAAAAATGTTAATATATCAGTTATTTCATATTATTACAGCATCCAGCTTGCTTATAATTATGGCACATAACCACCATAATACTTTCTACTGACATGCACACGCTTACAATGCCCCGTAACACATTACCCAAGACCATAACGTGGTTATACTATCTAAACATTTATACCCCACTAAAAAATGGAAACTTAACATAAAATGTGACCTAGAATCTTTTCTGCTACATCAGATAGATCAGGGTTTCTCAACTGGTGGGACGCGAAGGTCCTCTAGGTGGGGCTTGGGTCGCGGCAGCGAAACAGGAAATACCACAGCAGGATTTCTGCTTTTGCACACTTCAATCGGCTGCTGGGGGACCTCCCCCTGCGCTCGTCGACCGGTGGGACCAGAATTTTTTGACCTTACGTAGGTGGGACACAAGGTGCAAAAGGTTGAGAACTGCTGAGATAGATGACATAACAGGATGATAAGACAGGGCTCTTTATGCCAAAGAGCAAGGCACAACAGGGTACAACCCTTCCCCTGCCACTCTAGCTGCGAGACTATGAACCAGAGGAAAGATCTTTCTGAATTGAGATGCATACATTAAATGGGTTATATCCAATGTAATCAAGTATTGCAATAATGCAGGCGAGAGCTAAATCACCTACCACACAACATCGCAAGTTTGAACTGGAGGGAGGCATTTCATAGGTCAATCTTGCATACACACGCTTGTTTCAATTAGTGTTAACTTACAGATTCACCAGAAGCTTCTGAACAGTGTAAGTGCTTACCGATTTCAGCAGGTAGTTGCTTAATTTTGTTCTCTCGTATGCTAAGCGTGGTGAGTCTTGACAAGTTTTTGATATCCTTTTCCACAGTAGTTACACGATTAAAGCGTAGATAAAGAGTGGCGAGAGAACATAGCCTGTACACCACCGAAGGAATTTCTCTAAGTTTGTTATGCCGCAAGTCAAGCATGGCCAATTTCTTCAAGTTATCAAGAGAGTCAGGCAAACTGGTAAGCGAGTTCTCACTCAGTGCCAGTGTCACCAGATTCACGAGACAGCCCACCTCGGCCGGTAAGGACTGCAGTTTGTTACCGTATAAATAAAGTTCCGTTAGCTGTGTCAACTCTTTGATAGACGATGGAAGCATGTGTATAGACCTCTTGGCTAAGTCCAAGCGAATCGCATTCTCTTCCCGGCATTTATTTAGCTCTTTGATCAACTCAGCATTGCTGGATTTTTTGCGAGCGCCTGGGGCTGGATTAGGTCGTTTTATCGTGTTGTCCACTGAAAAAGCCACCCCAGGCTGCGCACTACTGGAGTCCTTTTTTCCATCTTTGGCATCTTTCCCTTTGGTCTTAGGCTCCTTTTCTTTACTCTCTTTCCCAAGTCCTCCAGACGCCTTGGCCTCCTTCTCTCTCTCTTTTGCAGACGGGACTTTTGGATCCTTCTCTTTACAGTCTTTTTCTTTTCCTAGATTACTACTCATGGCGATTCAATGTTTTGCAAGCACCACATGAAATCCACTTTTTTAATGTGACAAAAACAATTTGCTGCTGAAGCTACAAGGATCCTTAAAATACAAACAATTGGATTGAGGGAGGAGCTTCAGTGGCACAATACCCTTTTGCTACATATTGATTCTGAAGGCACTCTTTTCTAATCCTGATATTGGAAGGGTCAACAGTTGGAAAATAGATGGTCAAATGCTCCTTACTAGAATTTCTGCAACACAGGAGAAAAAAAGAAGTAAATGTTAATGTGAGCATTACTTATTCTTAAAATATTAAGCGTGTCAATAGCTAACATAGGGTTGCAGCATCAAATCAGTAACCACCCCTCTCATGACTGCCCGCAAGAATCAAATCCTAACATTCAAATAAACAACGTTGTTCTGGAATACCTACTTGACAGCAGATAAACTATTCTAACCTTTATGAATAAAGCACGAATAAGTTAAGCATCTTAAATACAATACTGCCTTCATTACAAGGCACAAGTTGCCACATCTTGCTATTATATGCTAGTGCACAACCACAAAGTGCCTCTCTCTAAACTCAGTCCATAGAGCATAAAGTCCAATGTTAGATCATAAAGCACAGAGCATAAAGTCCACTTCTAGCATGAAGGACTGGCTCTCCCACGTCCAACTCTGGAAGTCCTCAGTTCAAATCTCCAGTGCCAGATAATATGGCAGACTTATGAACATTTCTTACCAAGCGATCTCTTCCGGCCTATTTTGAGTCACAACCATCTACTGCACTCCTACATAAGATAGGACCTTGCAACCTATGACAAGGTTGGTATTTTTTGCAATGCAAACAAAAGGAGTTGTAGGCTTGAAATAAGCATGCAACACCCCTCCTCCCCACCCCACCCCCAACCCACAATATCTAAAAGGACGTAACTCGATGCCTAAAAGACAAGCAAACCTGCAACCAAGGTAATAAGGAAAACCAGTCCAAAAGGCAGGTTATTCTGCAGGGGGGTAGGTGATTCTGCAGCTACCCATTCAGAGTATCTTCCATTTTTCTATAAACCATTTGATAACTGGCTTCTGGATTAGATCTCCCTATATTCTCTACAACAGTGTCCACGTTCCGGGTCCAGTTTCAGTTTTATCCAAGTCTGTGAATTAAAGTAAATGATTCCAAGAAATATTCAGTAATTGAAAAATCCTAACCAATTCTAAAGCAGTCTTTCAAAAATAAATGGTCAATTGAAGGGAACAGCATTTTTATCCTTCCATGTCAATCAGTCTTTTTGCCAACAAAAGCAACATTCTGTTGTTTTGTATTATTTGTTGATGATGGGGAGTTTCTTAGTTTTTAACAAAAGGGCCTAGTTGGTCTCAGCCACAAAAGCTGTTTGCAATCTTCTCACCACCACCACCTTAGGAACTACATCCCCTTTCTGGTGTTTGATGTTCTCTATTAATATGTTACAAGGACAGAAAAAAAAATGATATATACTTAAGTTACTCAATGAGAACTGAACACATCGAAATCTTACAGGCAGGCTCATCCACCTATATTTTAAAATGCATATTTGCATATTTATGCATAGCTCTCTTGTGCACGTACACTATTTTTTAAGCCAAGAAACAGTCATTCATATTAAAATAGGATCAGAGATTAGATGGCCAAACCTAAAATTACATACTGGTTAGAAGGCAAATATTTCCCTACTATTCTGCAGATCGTGATATCTAATATCAGAGCTGTGAATAAAACTCACAAGACAACTTCCAGGCCTGTGCTGTAACTTGTTACTGCAACAGCATCGCAAATGTGTGTGTGTATGCAAGATGTTCTTGGGTAATCTCTGAAACTGGAGTTTACAATGCCTTGGAGAACTCGGATAAAGGGTGTTAATGTAATACTTGGCTTCATCCAATTCTGTCTGTATACAGTATCTCATATGACACCATTAAATGACTTAACACTTACTTGACCTTGTTTTCTTTTAATCCTTTTGCAGGTGTTTTGTTTGATTTTGGGGTTTTTTAAAGAAATGAATAGAAGAATCAACTCTTAACACAAACACTGGTAACCACCTCCAACAGTCTTTTAACAAGTCCCTGATACTATTTTAATGCCAAACTACCCCACTTTTCTATTGTATATTTAAGACGCATCTTTTAAACTGTTCAGAGTAGGGGTGCTCAGTCTTCGACCAGCCCACCAAGCCATGGCAGAGCTCCCCACCAGTTGGGAAATTCAGTGGCACAGGAGCAGTGGCAATTAAATACTGCCAACTCTTCCATGGTGCCAAGCTCCAAAGCCCCGCCCCCGAGCCAGGGCCGGGCCACCTTCCCTCCCCGCATGTGGCCAAGCCAAGGCCGGGCCGTATCCCCTTCTACCTCACATGGCCAGAGCCGAGGCATGACCCCTTTCCCTCTGTGGGGCCAGAGCCAGGGCTGACCCATGCCCCCACCCCACCCATGGGGTCAGAGCCACGCAAAATACTCAGAAATTGAAGATTTATAGTACAATCCATACATTGAAATTGTTACACTTATCCACACCGTGCGCAATTAGTACAAAACAAGAGAAGATTTAAGATAAAAAAAGATAAAACGCACCCACACATTTACCTCACCTTCCTCACTTTCTCAAGGACTTCATAAATTGAGACTGCAGGTTCTGCTGGATGTACAGCAGACCTTCTCAGACCTTGCCTCTCTGGATTAAACATTTCTCCTGTTCCAAGAAACAGCTGCCACAACTACTTCCTGGACACACCAAGAACAAGTGGTGGGAGAGGAAGCAACGGAGGAGATGTTCTACCCGAAGAGCAAGCTTTCCAAACCAGATCAGACACTATAAACACACGCAAGTCTGGAAACGATGATATATAAAGATAAGAACAAGAGGCTACAGCCAGATTCTCCAAACCAGATTATTATGAAGGCAATGTAGTTTCTTCTTACGTGTTCACAGTTCTACCAGCATGCAATTTAGGGTCAGAGGTTAGGAAAAGACAGATATAGTGTCACCTGCTGAAACTCTGCTACACTTCCCAGAATTAAGGACCCCATCTGCAATAACTTGTAACAGCCAAACTTCAAACAATCCAGCTGAAATTATATATGGTGAGCTGAATTTTTTCTGGAAAGATTTCAGCTAAACTGTTCGGTTAAATCCAAATAAGAGAAAAATGCTGTTCTGACTGTGCTAAAATCAGGCAACCTTTCTTCTGTACTGCTCTAGTGCAGCGATTTTCAACCTTTTCCACCTTATGCCCCACCAACGGTTGGTCCCAGAAACCCTGGTCCCACCAAAATAATCAATGAGCTGGGCCGGAGGCTGGGGGGAAAGAGTCCCCCAGCAGCTGGCTGACGAGCAAATCTGAAAGTGCCAGCAGCACACGGCAGCACAAGTGCCAGCAGCGAACCTGGAAGTGCCGGAGGCGAGCCCACCACTTCTCCGCGTCCCCCCTAGATGGCCTTCGTGTCCCACTAATTGAGAAACGCTGCTCTAGTGCACCTATGCTTTAGACCAGGGACTTGACACACTTGGCAAGGGGAGAGGCCTCTTGTGCCAAGGATGCATCTCTTACCACCCCTGTACAACCAAGTTACACGCCTTTGAAAAACTGCAATCTGCACATGCTCAGAGGAAACTGCTCGAATTTTAGCAAATGAAAATCTCCAAACGATTCTGTCCTCATTGAGAATTGTCCATCCTCTCCCCGCTCCTACTCCCGACTAGATTATGCCTCAGGGGTCTACCCAACTAAAGGAGGCACTCAATTCTGCAAGCAAATCAGGAAGTTGACCACTATTTTTACACACTTACCTTGGTGCTCCCCCTACCACACACCTCTGATTGGCCAAGGGGCCTCAGTGGCCCCATTCCCCACCCGATTGGGGAAGAGCACTGTCCATCATGTCCATTGGTGGAGGGGGGCAAGGCTGTACAACAGGCAGCCCTCTCACCCAATCAGTGACAAGAGGCAGGGGCGGCAGCCATCTTGCCTGCTTGCCTTTGTGCTGGCAGCCCTCTCCGTGCCAGGCTGTGCGGCCAGGACTGCTGGCTCCCACTGGGGAGCCAGCATTTTTAAAAAAGGTGGGTTTTGGGGGGGTTTTCCTGCAGATTACCCAATTCTGCAAAATGCACGCCATCGCGATTTGAGTAGGTCCCTAATTATGCATGAACCAACTTCAGAGTGACAGAGGGCCTGGAAGGGAACCCAAAAGATTTCCATTTTTTCCATTCCCGTGCTGTCAGCAAGTATCTGCAAATCCCTCTGGTACGGGTGTGTTTAGGTTTATTACCTTGCTTCACCTCTGACTCAAAACAAATGGCAACCTCTACGGCTCTCAATTACTTCCTCAGCTCAAGTGGCAGGGATTTGCATAGTGATGCAAAAGCACTAGCCCAGTGGATGAACCATGGGGAAGTCAGCAGAATGGAATCCGATTCATTTTTTTCCAGTTTGATTTCTGAGCCTAAAAAGAGGGGCAGAGACTTATGGGTGACTGAAATAAGAAGAACAATATTTTATTCAATCGGCACGAATACTGAGAATACAGGCCCTTGAAAAACTGTATTAAAAATGGTTATTTTACTACTGCTGAATACAACCTGCAACATTTATATAGTATGTAATAGCTGCCATATAGTCTGTGTGGTAGTAGGCTACCAGCGATCCTCTGAATCATGGCTAGGCTTGGCAGGATTCAGTTTTTATTGCTAAACATTGATAAATGTCAACTTCACCTCATACTCACAAACCAAGGGAAATATTTTTCCATCAGTAATAATAGAAATTTCCAGATAGGGGACTGTAACAGGGAACCCGTACCTGTTACTGGCAGCAGAGAAAGCGGAGGAGCGGTTAAGGAGGAAAGCAGAGCAGCCTAATGACAATTAGCTGCACATTCACAGGTGACAGGAAGCAAGCTGGAGGGAGACAGCAGGGTACTTAAACCCCTACCCAAAGCCCAGAGGGGGAGAATGGGCATTTGAAGCTCCAGCGGGGCAGCAGCAGGGTCCTGCCTGGGCCAGCTAAGCGCAGGGGGCCAAGGGCAACAGCTGCCTCTGCCCATGTTCCCAGAGCTCTGGGAGTGCCACTGCCCTCCGGCTATTTTTTTTTTTTTTTTTAAACTCAACTTGGATAAAGATTACCATCTCCTCTCGGATGGAGAGAACTAAGAAACAAGAAAAAACAGTGCTAACTATTGAAAACACTAGAAGTAAAAGACCCCTTCTCTCCC